TAGATATCAACAAGTTTCTTTGGATGGTCCGGATTGGAGGGAGCACAGACACAGGCAAACATATCAAGGAAAATGACTATTATACTCCAACTGGGGAATTCCGTGTGGACCGTGAGGGTTCTCCAGTGTTGCTCAACTGCCTCATGTATAAGATGTGTTACTACCGCTTTGGACAGGTCTACACAGAAGCCAGTGAGTGATTCATAATAATGTTAATAACAATAGTATTATAATAGTGATAGCTAATACACAGTGTTTTTCCGTATGCCAGGCACTGCTGTAAGTGCTTTGGTAACTCATTTAATTCTCACAAAATCCCAAAAAGTAGATACTAATATTATTGTCATTTTATATATGGGAAAATTGAGGTGCAAAGAGGTTACTTAACTGTCCAAAGTTACATGACTAGTAGCAGAGTCAGGATTCAGACTCAGGCAGTCTGGTTCCAGATTCTTTTAACCATTGCATTTTACTGTATCTCAGCAAAGGGTATTACAGTGAAAAAAGGAAGGGGGATAGAGTAAGACAAAGGACTTTTCATTTCTTTAGATGAATACATTGAGAGTTATTTGATCAGGTTAAATCTTTCCTTCTGACATCAACTTCTTGGTTTTGCACTAGGGAGAATTTCTGAAGTAAATGCAGGCCTTTGGCTTCTGATAGGTTCTTCTTTGATTCATGTAGGGTTACTATGTGTTATAGAGGCCTCTGGATGACAATGCTCTGTAATAGAGGAGCTTGGAAGTCAGCTTCCTGTCTCTTAGCAGAGATAAGCTCCATTGACTGCCAGGCATCATCTTGGACAGGACTTGAATTAGGGTTACACTTGATTTTCTCGTACAACCTGATGCCCTTTTCTACAGACCCGTAACTAACTTCAGGCTAAGGAATAACCATTCAATTAGTGTATTAGAAGGAAGTGTATTCTTTTTTGTCCCTTTCTAGAGCGTCCACCAGGCTTTGACCGTGTCCGAAATGCTGAGATTGGGAATAAAGACTTTGAGCTTGATGTCCTTGAGGAAGCATATACCACAGAACATTGGCTCGTCAGGATATACAAGGTGAGCAGATGCTACACTATCTCAGAAAGCAACTTTCATGTTTGCAAATTGGTTCTAGTGCTTAAAAAAATGGGCCACATAGTTCTCAAATAGGGAAATTTCTAATGACACCTGTGTCTGAAAAGTAGCTTGCAACTCACTCAAAATTTTACTTTTTATTTTAGATTGTTCTTAGAGAGTAGATATCCCAGTCTTCTGTCATTTTGGCAGTTGTTGCAGTGATATTTTTCCAGTTGGGACTTGACTCAACATGTTTCAGTAATTATTAGGCTTGAGGGGGAAAAAGAGGAAAAAAAGTTCATGTTTATGGTTTTTGAGTTACATTTTCTTCTCTTCCATTGAAGAATTTATGGTATATAAAGTCACATAGAGTCACATGGGAATGTGTTATATCTCTCACATAAGAAAAGATTGAGAACCCTTGATCTATGTAGAGAGTGGATCATTTACATTGCTCCTCACAGAGGTATAAAGGATTCGACAAAGCTAAAGAGAGTGGCTAGTCTCTAACCAGTGTTTGTTTATTCACAGCCCAAACCAGGCAGCAGAGCCCAACATAATTCCTCCTGCTCTGGATGAATCCATTTCAGTAGAAAAACTCTCTAAAGTTGATCTGATTGTATATATTAAACTGACATCTTTATGTTGCAGGTAAAGGACCTGGATAATCGAGGCTTGTCAAGGACATAAATATCACATCCAGCTCTGATATGCTTCGCACTGAGCGCATCATATTTTAGGACGTTGAAGACTTTTTTTTTAAATATGAAGTTTATAAGAAACAGAGCCGGATGGGATTAGAATTGTTTGGAAGTTTTGTCCTGGGCACTATGGGTTGGGCCAAATGAAATGATTTTTATAATTCTGAGCAAGTTACCAAATGAAATGTCATGGCTTTACTTTGGTCAATTAAAGGGGGGAATTTTTTAAAAACGTGCCTTATTTGTTTTGACTTAAAACTGATTTGAGGAAGACAAAAGTTTATGCTGGGCTGATACAAGGACAGATAGCAGACCTCATCCATGCTCTTAGCTCCCTAAATGAGCTAAGGTAGGAACATCTTTCTCAAATCAGGAAAATTATTAAGGACTTATTCAGATCCTTGATATACAAACCATTTTGTCATACTTTCTTCATTGCAGCACTTAGTGAAATTCCTTGTACACAGTGTGACTCAATACATTTTTATTGAATGAATAAATGTTTGTGGGAATGCCATTTCTTGTCAGGAAAGGCAGCTTTGTTACTATCATGTCTCCATTCTCAATGTCTCTTGTCCTTACAGGCTCTTGGACTTTATAAGGGACAGATAGTGGCTAGCCAGACCTTATCTCACCAGTACTCTTTGGGACTAGCCAGGCTTTTTTGTTTTGTTTTAATTTTCAGCAGGAATAAATCAAGTGTGACTAAATCAGCAGTTTTGAAGACTCAAAGAGTGAAATTGTTTTATTAATGGAGTGGAAGAAACTTTTCCAAACTTTTCCTTTTACACATGGAGCTTGATGATCAGTAGATGCTTTTGAATTAGTTTAAATATAATCAGATATTTATTTTAAATTTAGTTTTTTAGTACTCTCACTTGTCCATGATACAGTAAATGGTGCTTTGCTCATTTCCTTTAGACTATGCACTAAAACTCTTGTGGTTATTCAAAGGAGAGCTTCTTTCTCCCTTGGTCTTAGCCTATTTGTTGCTATTACCTGGTTTTGAAGCCCTTGCCAAATAATCAACAAATTAGAAGGGGGAAGCATTGCTAGTAGCAGGTACCTAGAGAACAGTGCCAACTGACAAGAAAAACTTGTTAAAAATATTTAACTCAAAAGCACAGTAGTCCCCATGTTTTGGAGGGGTTTTTGTTGTTTGTTTTTAGACAGAGTCTCTCACTCTGTCTCCCAAGGTAGAGTACAGTGGCATCATAGCTCACTGCAACCTCAAGCTTCTGGGCTGAAGCAATCCTTCTGCCTCAGCCTCCCAACTAGCTGGAACTACAGGTGCGTGCCACCACACCGTGCTAATTTTCCCATTTTATGAGAGATGGGGGTCTCGCTCTAGCTCACGCTGGTCTTAAACTCACTGCCTCAAGTGATCATCTCACCTTGGCCTTCCAAAGTGCTAGGATTATAGGTGTGAGCCAACCCATCCGGCCCCCCATGGATATTTTCACGTCAGACAAAGAGCCTTATTTTCAGCATAGTAGGACACTGCATGTATTTTACTACATATGACCTATCACTGATGTATATAAACCCTAAGGCATTAACAAAAGGCATTTGTTTCGTGTTACCTGTTTAAGAAAATAGGAGGAATTAGATGACCTAGATTAAGTCAAAATGGTGCTCATAAAGGATAGGCTTTTTCGGGTATACTTTTATATACCAGGGAACTTAGCCTTCCAAACCACTATATATAATGTTCTTCAAATGTGGGTGAGATTTAGATTTGATATAAAGATTTGATTTATAATATATAAATAAATTACTTGATTTAGATACTGAGAATTCCTCCTTAGTGAAAGAGGTTATTCTGAATTTTATTGTCAATATGATTAATACCAGTTAGAGATCATTAATGATCTTCCTCAATAGTATTAATGGATTAACCCTTTAACTTTCACTATAAGTGGTACTCTTAGGATTTTAATTTTGTTACTTCTCTAGGCCTGCATGCTTCTTTTTAAAAAATGCACTTTTCATTTTCACTGTTATTGTGCACTTAGTGTAAAAAACTCAATTTAATTCTAAAAAGCAGCAACACTCTTCCACTCCCAGAGGCAACCACTTTCAACTCTGACTTTCACACAGCTTACCTTTATATCATCTAATAATTTTTATTTTGCTACATTTTGGTTTTTCCAATGTTAGGCATCCACATGTTGACATTCTGTTGTGGAAACTGAAGATTTAGCTCTTTTTTTTTTCACCATCCTTTTACTCCCACGGAACAGCACACATTCTTTATTACTAGGTTCTAACTATAGTTATTATTTCTATATACTTATAGTTCTATTATAATCAATTCTATTCTATTTAGTAATATTTATGTTCTATTATAATTATAGGCTAGATCAGTATTTAGTTTTTACCTTATGGCTGTTCACAACTAGGCAATGTAGTATATAATGTTACTACTTTTCCTGCATGACTTTTTTTAAGGGAGTTTTTCATTTGTTTTTTGTACTTGTCACTAATTTCTCCCTCAATTCTTCATTTGTGCCAACTTCCTTTTTCTATGTTGAGAAACATTACGTATTCATTCTTAGGGCTATCTGGTGTTTATGTTCCAATTTGGACTGATTTACTCTGTAGGTTTGCTTTATACCTCCTGCGTTGGTGTATCCTTTTACTGTCATACTGTTTGTGTGTGTTAATCCTCTGACTTCTTTCTTGATTTATCACCTCTAAGTGCCTTCCTGAGAAAGTAGTTTTGGGAGATAAATTTCTTGAGAACCTTGCATGTCTCTTGTCACACTTGATTGACAGGTTGGCTGGGTGTATAATTTCAGATTAGGAATAATTTTTCTTTAGGATTATTGTGACAGCATTACCCCATTGTTTTCTATCTTCCAGTTTTTTTTTTTTTGTATGTATCCATTCCCTATCACCCCCACCCCAGACCTCTTAGGATCGTCTCATTGTCTATAATGTTTTGAAATTTTCCCAATAATGTATCTTGAGTAGGTCATCCATTGTGCTGGGTAGTTTAGATTTTTATGTGTGGAAAGTCAATTTCTTCCATTCTGAGAAATATTTTTACATTATATGTAGATTTCCCCAACCCTCTTTCTCTTTCTGAAAAATAGTTATTTGGATGTTGGACTTCCTGAATTAATCTCCTAATATTCTTATATTTACTCTTCTATTTTTTATCATCTTCATTCTTAGAGATTTCTTCAGCTTTTTTTTCTAATCTATTTAGAGTAGTTTTCTTTTTTCTGGTATCATATTTACATGTCCAAGAGGTTTTTTTTTGTTGTTTGAATATTCTTTCGGACATTTTTTAAATTAAAGACTTTCTTAAATTCTTGGTTGACTGCTCCTTTGCTCTTCAAGAACGGGACCCTCAAAAAGCTGATTGAAAGGTCTGTTTTGGGGGGCAGATGGAGCTTATTGATGTGAGTTTCAGTCTACTGTGATCTGGCTGGGCTATTACATTGTGAAATCTCTCATATTGGTATCTTTTAGATTTTTTTTCTCTTACATAGGTAAGATTCCCTCAAGAAGGCTTGTATATTCTCTTACTGAAGGATATAAGCCAGACTGTCAGCTTTCTCAAAGTAGGGAAAGAAGTTTTACAGGCTCAACCTTCAGGGCATAAACTTAAACTTAATGCCTCTGTTTTCAGTAAAATACTCAAGCTTTTAACTGTGCCTAATGCTCTCCAGTTAGATACCATGCATCAACCCTCTCAAGTCTTGTACCAACTTTGGGGAGGGGCCTTTCCTTGGTTATATGGAGGAGGGAGGGAATGCAGGGAGTCTATTTGTTTCTTACATAGTCTTTCAGCCTACCCTGGTTTTAGCCCACTTTCACCTCCACCTTCAGTTACTTGGTGTCACCAGTTCAACTTGAGCCTTTAGGGATTTCTTTGATGTAGATCAAGTTGCTTTTTCACTTCCCATTGTTAGTTCTGGGATTCATCTTTATTTCATTTAATTACCTTCCACCTAAAGGCTTTCAAAGTTTTAATAATTTTGGGTCTCATACTCTATTCTAATGGGTTATTGTCTTTTAAAAAGGATATATTAATTAAGACAGGAATTGTGCAGGTCCTTCTGTTTTCTTCAGTCTTGTTTTCAGCAGTGAAGAAGCTAGAGAAAATGGGATAAATGAAAAAATGATAAAAACTTGCTTTTTACTACATGAAACGTAAATTGTGGTGTCATGGTTAAAAACTTCACACATAATGATTTGAAGAGTTTTGTCCCTGACTTTGCTTCTTTAAAACATATGTGTGTTTCTGCATATTTTACTGTTACCAGTATTACAATACCTAGTTATGCTGAGTATATGTGGCCCAGTTTTAAGGACTGGAAGTTTTAAGGATTGAATGGAGATGATCTTGCCTCTGCCTTGAGTTCCCAGTCTAATTTACTGTACGAATACTGATTTTAGTTTTTCCCAACTTTTGTTCCCACGTGCCTTTCCTCAGAATTTACTTTCCCATTCAAATGAGTTTCTCTACCTTTTATTTGCATTATGAAATTTATATTGGCTTCTACCTGCCTGTTTCTTACACATTAAGAAGTGTAAACAAAGCAGAGTGTCTTCCTTCAAAACGGTTAGACCGAACTAAAGCATTGTTTTGAAGCTTGTTCACAGACAAGGCACCATTTGTTATCCTGACACTACCTCAAGCACAAAAAAAATTGCTTTCTTCCTCTGCACCCTTCCCCTCACACTTAACGTGTGGCCATTTTTCATGGCTCACTCCCACTTCAAAGTTCCTCATTCGTCACAGGATCATTTCTCAACAGCTGTTGCTAATTTCTCGGTCCTAGCAGTATGGGTACAGCACACTAAAGTTTACAAAGCGCTCTGCAGCACGTTATTGACTGTAATCCTCCTCACAATCCTGCCCGGCAGCAGCGCCAGGTGCTCAGAGGTCACGGCTGGTGGGTTTTCGTAGCTATCCGAGCAGCCGTCCGGGAGCAAAGCGGACAGCACGGCCTTGGTACACCGCGCGCGGTCGGCAGTGCGCTAACTCGGGATGGAGCCTTCGGCTCCGCCCAGGAGCGCCAGAGCACGACCCAGCAGAGCTTCCCGCACCAGATACCATTTCCCATTTGGGCCCAGACGTCAGTTCGAACCCATGCGGTCGGCAGCCCTTATATCTCTTCAGCCGGGTCTCTCCCGGACTGCAAAGGAACCCTGAGCGATAGCGGAAACCTCTCAGCACTAGTGTCCTGTATTCACCAATCTTCAGAGCGGCTGCACCCGGGGACGCGCACTGTTCTGCTTTACGGCAAGGGCGCGCGCGTTCGCGACAGCGTGACGCCAGGAGGTTTTGGCGGGAAAAGCGCTGCATTTGGATTCCTGTGGTGGCGGGCTCTGGAGAGCTCGGTGAGGAAGGGCGGCTTGTAGGGTGGGAAAGGATTCTGGAGAAGGAGTTCGGGGTCTGGATTAGTGACGAAGGGCACGGCGAGAGGGAGTTAGCCGTGACGAGCGAAGGAGGGCTGAGAGACTCCCGCGGAGGGGCGGTTTTCGGAGGGTGGAGGTATGTGGTGCCAGGAGGTCCTTGTAAAGGCAGGACGGGCGACATTAGTACTCCGCTGTCTGGGAACCCCAGAAGTCTGGGCGTCGTCCTGGGTTCCCAGCCCTTCCGCTGCTGGGGCAGTTTGGCCCCGCCCCGGACTCCTCCCGGCCTTTGGGACCGATAAGGGTGGGGTGGAATTGGAACTGAGCAAGTGGGGAGGAGGCGCTGAAGCAGGCGTATTCTTCCGTGCCCCGCCAGCCCATACCCCCTTATCCTCCTTCCCAGACCCTCACTCTCCCACCCCTCCCCCAGTCGTTCCCCAGAAATCCTTTGTCCCCCAGCTGCACCACACTATTAATTTCCTCTCAGGCTTGAGGAGGGCAGAGTTTCAGCCTTTGGTGTGCGTGGGAATGGGGATTGTTATTTACACGAGAAAATGCCTTAAGTTTTGAATACTTGCTTGTGCTTTAAAGACTTGTATAAATATGGATGAGATATAAGGGGAAACCAGGAGCTGTTATTTGTAGTGGGAGTCATGGCAAGAGGCAGGGTTCACTGGCTTTACAGGTGATCTTGCACTAATCCTCCATCTTTTCTGGATTCCTACCTTTTATAAGCCACGGTGCTCGGTGGAGTCATGGCAGTACCCTTTGTGGAAGACTGGGACTTGGTGCAAACCCTGGGAGAAGGTGCCTACGGAGAGTGAGTTTGAGTCTCTTCATGCTTGCTTTAGTTTTCTGTCTGTTGTCTGAGTACATGTTCGTTGTTTTGGAGTTGTTAATTCTAGTAGAGTGGTGCCTTAGAGGATAGATTTCAGCGTTTGAAATCCAAGACTCTTGGCAACTGAAGTTATGCGATTTCTTCTTTTTAATATTTTCTTTGTAAAGAGCTGGAAGAGATAGTGAAATCATTGCTTCCCTTCCCACATATTTCTTCTCTGGGGGTTTAAGCATAGTGGTAATAGACTCTGGTAATAGGCACTGCCTGCCTGGTTTTAAATCCTTACTGTATCACCTACTGGCCATTGTTTTGTGATCTTAGGCAAGCTTCCTAATGTCATTGTGTACCTTTGTTTCCTCATCTGTAAGATGGCAACATTAGTATCGATAGGTGCTTAGACAGTTAGTTACCACAGGCATATATACAATAGGATGTATGTTAGGTAATGCTGTTAAAATTATATGATTAGAACATGTATAATTTTGATGTGGCCTAGAATTGCTATTATCCCAATTTAGTTTATCAAGCCTTTTCTAAATGACTTGTGTGTGTATAGCATAATGACTTCTTTGGAGTGTTAGCTATTGTACTTCACCTTTCAGAAAGGAGTAGTATCTGTTGAGAACATGGCAGAAACCATTTCCTTGGTTTCTCTTTGGTGGAGAAAGTAATAAAGGTAAAATAGTTTTGGATGAGTCATATTTAATCTTTTTAAATTTTAAAAGAAATGAAATTCAAATGTCAGTAATGTCACAACCCTTTTTCTTTTCCTTTTTAGAGTTCAACTTGCTGTGAATAGAATAACTGAAGAAGCAGTTGCGGTGAAGATTGTAGACATGAAGCGTGCCATAGACTGTCCAGAAAATATTAAAAAAGAGATCTGTATCAATAAAATGCTCAATCATGAGAATGTAGTGAAATTCTATGGTCATAGGAGAGAAGGCACTATCCAGTATCTATTTCTGGAGTACTGTAGTGGAGGAGAACTTTTTGACAGAATAGGTATGTAAAAGTTTCAGATAACTATCAAACAAGTTTTTAAACTTGTGTTTTTAATCTTTGATATGCTGTTTGGTCATTGTCCTTTCAGAATTGCTTGTGCAATAGTGAAATTGTAGTAAATTGTCTTTTTTTTTTTGCTGTAATTTGTATTAACACATGAAAGCATATATAGAGTCACTGAAAGAAAACTTTTCCCAAGTTATATATGTGATTTTGATTGGAATTGCTATTTTATAGAATTTAAGGATGATACTTTAGTTTTATGTTATGTATACCAATATAATTTTTTCTCTGTAGACATTCTAGTTATGTGATATCATTGTATACATTCATAAATCCAAAATAGTAGCATGTTTTATTTCCTTATTTGTTTAAATGAAATAATTAAGAATTTTCTAGGATTGCTTTATATATATTAAGTAAATTCTGTGTTTGCTACCTAAGTGTTCTGTATAGATTCAAAGGATTGATATTACAGAACACTGAGAAGTACATAAAAATATTCTGTGGTTCTAAATTTATTATTATTTTTAACCACTAGACCCCAGGGACTAAATTTATTATTTAAAGTTATTGTATTAACAGTTAAAAACTGATTACAGATGCTAGAATTTTTGATATGAATATCAGGAGAGAATTAGGGGTAAAAGAAATCATGAGTTAATGGGAGAGATCAAAATATACAAAGATAACTGACAGAAAAACATTTCTTAATAAGACTGTTTTGTGGCTGGACGAGGTGGCTCACGCCTGTAATCCTAGCACTCTGGGAGGCTGAGGCGGGCAAATTGCTTGAGGTCAGGAGTTTGAAACCAGCCTGAGCAAGAGCGAGACCCCATCTCTACTATAAAGAGAAAGAAATTAATTGGCCAACTAATATATGTAGAAAAAATAAGCTGGGCATGGTGGTGCAGCCTGTAGTCCCAGCTACTCGGGAGGCTGAGGCAGTAGGATTGCTTCAGCCCAGGAGTTTGAGGTTGCTGTGAGTTGGGCTGACACCACTGCACTCACTCTAGCCTGGGCAACAAAGTGAGAGTCTGTTTCAAAAAAAAAAAAGATTGTGTTTTGTGAAGGAACTTCACAGGCATTCATGGCTTTGTAGTGTGAAATTAAGTTTTGTCCATTTTTTTTTTCACTGTTCCCTTCAGTGGAGTGTATGAATTTTAAATCTGTTAAATATTAGTGAAATTGGCTTAGATTTGTCCAGAATTATTCTTTGGCAATTATATTTCAGGAATAGGAAAAATATTGGCATAACATTTAGAAGAGGGGTCCTCAAACTTTTTAAACAGGGCTCCAGTTCACTGTCCCTCAGACCGTTGGAGGGCTAGACTATAGTTTAAAAAAAAACTATGAACAAATTCCTATGCACACTGCACATACCTTATTTTGAAGTAAAAAACAAATGGACAAAAACACCTGCATGTGGCCTATGGGCTGTAGTTTGAGGACGCCTGATTTAGAAAAAATAAGGGGGAATTTGAAAGATAGCAAATAAATCAGAGTTAGTAGAGGATTAAATGGGCTTTCCAGGCATGGATTACATTCTTAATTTGGATGATAGTTTGTTATTTCTCTATAATTTTCCTGTGATGTTACTTCATTTTTGCCATTTAACAGTTGTGAATATATAAGTTAAGTCTTGTATATGTCAGTGGACTACTGATTCTTTTATTGGCATTTGATTCTGTTTGCTAAAGTACAATCATAAGTGTTTAAATTAAGCAGCTATGTGGTTGATGCCTGATTATCCAATATACTTTTATGATTAATTTTATAGAGCCAGACATAGGGATGCCTGAACAAGATGCTCAGAGGTTCTTCCATCAACTCATGGCAGGGGTGGTAGGTAGAATTTTCTCTTTTCTTATTACTTAAAATTGGTACAAATGAAATAAATTGCCAAATTCTGGTGTGTTTCCTCTGCCTCTCCCTTAGGTTTATCTGCATGGTATTGGAATAACTCACAGGGATATTAAACCAGAAAATCTCCTGTTGGATGAAAGGGGTAAGTTAAGCATTTTGTCACTGCTACCTAAATTATTTTAATACAACTATACAAGACAAGATCATCAAGTCTTTTGTATTACTGAAATTTCAAAACACATCTGAAAAGTCAAGGAAATTTGGGAGACTTAGTATATTTGAACTTCACAAGTGTTTTATGATACTGTTGTGGATAAGTTAGAGAAGTCAGAGTTAGATGCAAGGCTGGCTCGCTAGATGAGTAATTTTAAGGATAAATGTAAACAATTCTTTTGTGGATCAATAAAGAGAAGTTTCTGTTGGAATACCCCAGACTTTAGCCTTGTCCTGTTCACCCTTTTTATTTATGACTTGGATAAAGATGTAAGAAGTTTAGCTATATGTTATGAATTCCATTAAACTGAGAGGGATGGATAGTGAAAGCTTTAACTTATACAGTCATGATCAAAAAAGATGAAAAATGTCAGCTGTCTGAGGCAGTAGTTTTTATCTATTTTGTTTAGTGCTCTATTCTTAGTGTTAGAATGGTACCTGACAAATAGTAGGCTTTCAAAAATATTTGTTGAGTAAATGAATTTAGCAGGCCAGAGAGGTGGGTCAAGTCTAACAGTTGTTTCTACTAGGGAAAAATCTAAACTCTAGTATATGGATTGAAAAAAACTAACCAAGTGAAGTTGAATGGCATGTTCTTAGCAGCAAAATGGGTTAAAAAAAGACATTTAGTAGGCAGCAAACTTAATGTTAGTCACTTGTGTGATGTGGTTGTAGAAAACTAAGGTGCTACTATCTAGAATGAGGAAGGTAGCAGTCCAGCACTACTCATGAGGCTACACCAGAAACACTGGGTTTCCTGGATCCACACTGTAAAAGGCATGCATACCACTGAAGTACTCTTATAGAATGACCAGGATGATGAAAAGGCTATAAACTATGCAAAATAGGACTGATTGAAGGAACTCAGATGAAACTTGCTAATTGTTAAATATGGTTCTTCATAACGTGTGGGTGAAAACTATATCAAATCAATTCATAATCATTCAAGGACAACCCTCATTAATGTATCTGTTAAAAAATGGAATAGGGTGCTTTGGAATTTAGTATGTTTATGACCTTAGTGTCAAACATTGGATTATATAATTATCAGGGATATTGTAAAGGATATTTAAACATTGAATGGCTAGTTAGACCAAAGTACTTTCAAGATTTTGTCCAACCCTGAGGTTTAGTTATTTAGCTTTCTGCAAGTTCTTCATAAGGCACAAAGCAAAATTTTAGATATTCAAAAAATTTGGGATATGAGGAAAAAAGGAGCCATAAGATGCTCTGTTGATGAATCCTGAGAAATGAGAGTGCAGTGCAAGCCGTGAGGATTCCTTTTGCTTCCCCTTTTCATGCTGTTTTCATTAATTTGTGAATGCTAATAGCTTTGGTATTGCACCCAAAGCCATCTGACTTCTGCTTTTAAGAGAAGACATGTTTTCTGCATCCATCTCCTTGCAGAGCTACATGAACAGACATGAGTTTAGGGCATGTACTTTATTTATTTACTTTTGAAATATATATAGGGACAGGGGTCTCGTTTTTGCTCAGACTGATCTTGAACTCCTGACCTCAAGCAATCCTCCTGCCTTGGCCTCCCAGAGGGGTTACAGGTGTGAGCCACTGTGCCCCCAGCCAAGGACATGTACTTTAATGTGGTTGATAATTTTAATCACATCCTGCAAAACGTTTAGTTTAGGTGACATATTTTTGGCTGGCCAGCATTTCTCTATGGATGACAGTGTGTAGACTCATATTCAGAAGCAACCTTCTTGACCTGAGTAGTGAAACCAGAAAGCTGTCCAGTCATGGTGGCTGCTCCATCCATACATATACTGGCACAAAGTGCCAATTCAGTTATCCGGATATGTAATTATTCAAAGACTTGAATAGTTCTGTAGCTGTGGTGGTATTGGTTGCCAACAAAAGTGCACACAACATATCCACATGTACATCCTCCTGAAAAATACATCGCACAAAAACTAGCATTGTAGCCTTCTTGACAACATTGGTAGACTTGTCAACCTTGATTGTGTACCAGAATGACTCACTAATTTTCTCTAACAATTGTGCCTCAGTATACTCTGCTAGTTCATCAATTTGTCTAGTTATGGTGCTAGTTATGGTGTAAAATTAGATCATAGGATATATGCATTTATGTGTATGTGGATTTTATTTTTTATCCTTTAAAATATATTTACATAGCATACAAATCTTTATATTTAAAACTTAAAAATAAAATGTCTAATATGTGTTATAAAATATGATAAACATCTACTCATCTGGCTTAAAATATAAACCATTATTCATTTATAAGAATGCTGTCAGTGGTGGTGTTTATAATATAGCAGAAAACCGGAAACAGCCCAAATGTCTACCAGCAGTAAAACAAATAAGTTATGGAATGGATGATTTATATCTACAAGCAATATCATGGCTGAATTTCAGGAATATAATATGATATAGAGCCAAAAAGGAGAGTTGTAAAAGAATTCATATGGTCTGATTCTGTATGAAGTTCAAAAATGTGTAAAACCAAATATATTGTTCAGGGATCCAAAATGTGGGGAAAAAATCACACAGAAAAGCAAGAGTGCCGGGCATGCGGTATTGTGCATCTATAATCTCAGCAGCTTGGGAGGCTGCGGTGGGAGGATAACTTGAGTCCAGGAGTTTGAGACTATCCCAGGCAACCCATCTCAATTTTAACACATTGACTGCTATACTAGAAAAAAAATTTTTTCCTTGGGGCCACAGTGTTTTATTGCAAAAACAGGATAAAAACTTCAAAAACAAAATGATCCTTTCTAATTTAATAAAAAAATTATTTTTTATTGTTTTCTGTGCGTGAGTTATATGCAACTTGAAAAATAGTTCTTGCAGCTTCCACAATGAAGAGGTGTGAGTTATATATGCTTCATGAGGCCCTGGGCTGAAAGCTAATGTGAGTTAAATACAATTCACATGGCAGTTAATGTGATAAAAATAAATAAATGAATAAATAAAAGGGCATAATAAAACAATTCAGAATCCTGGTTACCTCTGAGAAGGTTGGGAAGGGAATGTATTCAAGGAAGTATTTAGTGGGGATTTCAAAGGAAATAGAAAATTTCCTATGAGTGTATGTTTATTATTTATATATTATAAAATATTCTTTTGTTTCTATTCAATATTTAGTAATAGTCTTTTTTTAAAAAGTTGTAAAAGATTACCGGTATTTAAAGTCTTCCCGTGTATTCCTCTACAGATGTACTTCCTTTCTCTTTCTCAGAGGTAACAACATTCCTAAATTTTGAATTTAGTATGTGCAGTTCTATAACCTGAGTATTATGTTGCAGATATAATGAAAGAACAAAATCCAAGGAATGTTTTAATAATGGCTTAGTATTTTAAGTGATTATTGTTTGTAACTTGGAACTCTTAATCTCAGTGATTTGTCCAAATTGTAGCATATTTAGCTACTAAAAGGATAATCACAGTAGCTGCCTCCAAAGTCACATACTGGTAAACATCATCAGTGGTTTACATATCATATTGGGTGAATGTATTTGATTTTTTAAAAGAATCAGTTTCCTATTTGGGGACATTTGTTTTTAACTTAAAAAAAAAAATAAAACAGTGATGATTGTTCTATAAATTTGTGCACAGGCCCAGTACAAGAACTGGGTCATGTTATAATATTTGTTATACCACTAGCCTTTTTCCCCCTACTTATACTCTATTCCATGTTTGTGCATACAGATATACCTTTTTTTTTAACAACTGCCTCCATAGTTTTCGTTGTGTGCATATACGATTTAATCATTTCTTTATTGGTGGACAGTTATTTTCAAATAATATCGCCATGAATATGTTTGTGAATTTGTGGGATTATTCTGTGGATATGGTCCTAGGAGTGAGAATTGCTAGTTCAAAAAGTGAATATTTCAAAATTTAGCATCTTTTGCCAGATTGCCTTCTGAAAAGATTTTTACTGGTTGACACCTCTAATAATAGATGGCCTTCCTTAACTTCTAAGACAAGGTTAGATCCCATTGCTCTAAAATCCTATAATGTTCTATATTTTCATAACCTTCACAACCATTTTCTATTGTACATCTTCTTCACGGATTTATCTACTGCCTGCGTTGGCTAGCCCAGTACCTATCACTTGGTTACAGTAGATACCCACTAAGTGTATGTAAAGTTGAAAGTCCTGCCTGCAGTCTATGTATGTTGAAGATGGTAAGTCTGAGTGAAAGTTCATTCTTCAGGGTTTTTTGTACAGTTTCTCCTTTTTTTCTCGGCTTAGCCACATTGCCACGAAGTTCTTATGGTTTGTGGTTCTTTAATTTGGTATGTTTTCATATATTTTCTTCTTGCCAACTGGGTTTGTTTGTTGCTGAGAAAGTTGTGCCCAGTATATTACTGATGTCTCCTTCCTGCACTCCACACTATCTAATGAAGGGCTTTGCTCTGCTTTCAGCCAAAGTTTGGAGTACTCTTTTCCAGAAGAGCAGCTGCTTTTTGACTCCTGCATCTTTCTTTAATCCGGTCCAAACTATTTTGTGTGTTGAAGATATTTCTCTTAAGTTAGTAGACAAGATGAGGCTTTTTTCCTGGTTTTAGCATAGATGATGATGATGTTTTTTGTTGTTTTTTTTTTCTCGGAGACAAAGTCTCACTGCATTGCTCAGGCTAGAGTGCAGCCTAGCTCACACCAACCTCAAACACCTGGGCTTAGGCTATCCTCCTGCCTCAGCCTCCCGAGTAGCTGGGACTAAAGGTGCATAACATGATGCCCAGCTAATTTTTATATTTTTAGTAGAGACAGGATTTCAGTTTTGCTCAGGCTGGTCTGGAACTCCTGAGCTCAAGCAATCCTCCTGCCTAGCCTCCCAGAGTGCTAAGATTACAAGCATGATTACACTGTGCCCAGCCTATTCTTTTTTCAAATTTCTTTTTTATTTTGGTCATTTTAAGGTAGAAAGTTTTTATAAACCTTAAGTAACACCAGTGATTTTTCCAATAACACTTAATTCCTTCAAGTATATCTATTTGTAAAACATTTTTATTCAGTGTCATCCTTTTTCTTTTGTTAGATAATCTCAAAATCTCGGACTTTGGCTTGGCGACAGTGTTTCGACATAATAATCGAGAGCGTTTGTTGAACAAGATGTGTGGTACTTTACCTTATGTTGCTCCAGAACTTCTAAAAAGAAAAGAATTTCATGCAGAACCAGTTGATGTTTGGTCCTGTGGAATAGTACTTACTGCAATGTTGGCTGGAGGTAAGAGCTATTTCTTCATGATAAAACACCTGTCCTATGAAAAGCCTGATTTGTTATACCAAAATAAATTAAATCAAGAGAATCCATATTTATATAATAGTATTTTAATAGCATCTTAATCAGTTTGGGCTGCTATAACAAAGTATCATAAACTGGGTGGCTTATAAGCAACAGAAATTTACTGCCAGTGGAAGCTGGAAGTCTGAGATTAGGGTGACAGCATGGATGGTAAGGGCCCTCTTCCTGATTCACAGGTGGCCATTTTTTTTTTTTAGAGAGATGAAGTCTTGCTATTAATATGTTGCCCAGGCTTGTCTTGAACTCCTGTCTTCAAGTGATCCTTCTGCCTAGGCTTCCTAAAGCACTGAGATTATAGGCATTAGCCACTACAATCTGACCTATAGTGTCTTTTTATAAGGGCACTAATCCTATTTATGAAGGCTCCCACCCTCATGACCTTATCACCTCTCAAAGGCCCCACCTCCAAATACCCTTACGTTATAGGTTAGAATTTCAACTAAGACTTGAGGGGACACAAACATTTAGACCATTGCAGGAAGTAATTTATTTATAAATAACTTGGAACTTTTGACCCCAAAGGTCTTTTTAAAATGAAGTATGTATGGTTATTAAATGAAAAATCACAACAGATGTCTCCTTTAAGATTCATGTAAACAGTTTTAAAAAGACTAGGGCAATACGTGGTTTATCGGCAGTGCCTCGCGCCTGTAATCCTTAACACTCTGGATGGCCCGAGCAGAAGGATAGCTTGAGGTCAGGAATTCAACACCAGCCTGAACAAGAGCGAGATGCTGTCTCTACTAAAAATAGAAAAATTAGCCAGGCATCTCTGGCGTGTACCTGTAGTCCCAACTATTCAGGAGGCTGAGGCAGGAGGATCTCTTTAGCCCAGGAGTTTGAGATTGCAGTGAGCTACCACAGCATTGGAGTAAGATTCCGTCTTGGGGGAAAAAAAGAAGTGGGCTCATCTATCTTTAAAGTGCCTCTAAAGTTTCTGAGTTGGTGTTGTTAGATTGAAAACCATATTGAATTAATTTGTAGGTTACTTTTCATGGATTTGGATTAATTTTTCTTTTAGTTCTTATAATGATATAAATACTCAGAAAACTGGGACTTTTTTTACTTTTAGAATTGCCGTGGGACCAGCCCAGTGACAGTTGTCAGGAATATTCTGATTGGAAAGAAAAAAAAACATACCTCAACCCGTGGAAAAAAATCGATTCTGCTCCTCTAGGTAACTGTGCTACCTAATTGAAAATACTGATTTCCTTAATAATGAAGTCTTGTGCTATTTGAACTTTTTCTTACATTTTGTTCTTTTGAACTTATAAATGATCACAAATAATCCATGATCCTTGTACATAGATTAGAAAATATAAATAAAAATTGAGGAAAAGATAACCCTGTAATCCTAGAATTCAGAAATAGCTTTTTAAAAATATTTTGGGTTGCATTATTTCAGGACAGGAAACGAATAAATGCAAAAAAAAAAATATTTTGGGGAATGTATATTTAGGACAACTCGAATCTGTGCACCTCGAATCTGTGCACCTTTTATTTAAAAAAGAAAAAAGTAAAAAGAAGAATTTGATACATGCTTTGATACTTTATTGTAAGTACAATCATGTGTCACTTAATAATAGGGATATATCCTAAGAAATGCGTTGTTAGGCGATTTCATCATTGTGTGAACATCGTAGAGTATACTAACACAAACCTAGGTGATATAGCCTCCTACACTCCTAGGCTATATGGTATAGCCTTTTGCTCCTAAGCTACAAACCTGCATAGGATGTTACTATATTGAATACTGTAAGCAATACTGTAACACAGTGGTAAGTATTTGTGTATTTAAACATATCTGAACACAGAAACAGTAATAATACAGTATTATAATCTTATGGGATCATTATCCTATATGTGGTCTGTTATTGACTGAAATGTTGTACGGTACATGACTATATATATAATATATGTTAAAGTATACATGTTTTTACACAAAATGGGATCATACTACACAAGCTATTTCATAACCAGTTTTTTTTGTTTTAATGCTCTGTGAACATTTTTCCATAACTATAATTGTAGGTCTACATCATTGTTTTTAAAGCCTGGGATAGTATTCTGGTATGTGGATATTCCTTACTATACTCATCCAATTCACTTTGTTGGAGATTTAGATTTTTTTTCTAAATTTTCAGTATTATAAAAGAGAGATGATCAGCATCCATGTAATTTAATCTTTGCACATATCCTTAAATTATTTACTTAAATCCTCAGAAACAAAATTACAGGTTTGAGGATGTATGTAGTTTTTAACGGTTATAGCATTTTTTGCCAAATTGCTTTCCAGAAAGTTTGTACCATTTCGTTGGTTTACATTGTTTTGTTTTGTTTTTTGAGAGAATCTCGCTCTGTTGCCTGGGCTAGAGTGCTGTGGCATCAGCCTAGCTCACAGCAACCTCAAACTCCTGGGCTCAAGGAATCCTTGTGCCTCAGCCTCCCGAGTAGCTGGGACTATAGGCATGTGCCCCCATGCCCGGCTAATTTTTTCTTATATATATTTTTATTTGGCCATTAAAATAATTAATTTCTTCCTATTTTTAGTAGAGATGGGGTCTCGCTCTTGCTCAGGCTGGTCTCGAACTCCTGACCTTGAGCCATCTGACCCGCCTCGGCCTCCTAGAGAGCTAGGATTAAAGGCGAGAGCCACCGTGCCCGGCCTGTTTTGAATTTTCAGTGTAAATAAAACACCAGTGAAGTTGTATACTGTTTATGCATTTATTAGCTTTTTGTCTATTTTGCTAATTTTGGGCAAGGAGATTTTCTTACCACTTTGAAGTGTGTTTTTTAACATATTAATGTTAAATATTTAAATATTTGCATTTGTTACAAATATTTTTTACAATTTGTCATTTATTTCCATTTTGTTTGTGCTATGTTGACATGTATAAGTTTTATATTTTTCAAATCTATTATTTTGTTCTTTGTAGTTTTCGACCATATTGTCATGTTTGAAAAAAGCTTTTCTACCCCCAATATTATTTATAAAAAGCTTTCCTTTGTTTTCAGTTAATGTTGTCACATGGGAGAAACATTTTGTTCTTATATATGAATAAGAAACACTCTGTTCTTATTCTCCTTATTTTCAGGCAATTGAGAATCAGACATAGGAAGAATAATATAAGATACAAACTGCAACAAAGAACAACTCCATGAAATTTAAGCAGTAATTTAGTAGTTTTATTTTTTTCTCTTCCCCAGAAATAATATTTAGAAGTAAGAAGGCTAATAGAGAATGTGTTCCCTACCACAAGCCGTAGGTTTTTCTAATCTGCATGACTCTTTTGTAAATGTTCTCTTAATGTTTTGTTTTCAGCTCTGCTGCATAAAATCCTAGTTGAGAATCCATCAGTAAGAATTACCATCCCAGACATCAAAAAAGATAGATGGTACAACAAACTCCTCAAGAAAGGTAATATCCTTTAAATGCAAGAATTTTTTTCTGTGAAAGAAAAGGTACTTGCAAAGTCAGAATTACTAGTCAACAACACAAGAGAGCTATGATCTCTGTCCTTGTGGAGATTATGATGTCTAGTAAAAAAAACAAATATAAAAAATAATCTTGTTTATTAATAATTGTAAAGCAGAAAGTCAGGGTATTATAGCTGTGTTTGACCAAGTCTTAAGGGACAGGGAAGACTTTTCTTCCTGAGGAAATGACATTAAATCTAAGATTCAAAAATTAAAGGGGAGCTAGCCAGCAAGGTGAGTGGCAGATTTGATTCTGAGTAGAGGAGGCAGTATTTGGAAAATTTTAGATTTTAGAAAGTCTGGTATATTTGAGTAGCTTGAAATAAGATCAGTATGTCATGGACCATGTCTGTCTTGTTCATCATTGTATCACCAGTGATTAACATAGGATATGGTGCATTATAAGTAATCAGTAAATATTTATAAATGAGTGAACAGAGAAGTGGGAGAGGAAGAGAAGTTTCAGATGAGGCCAAAGAGGTAGCTAGCAGCCAGGTTGTAGAGGAGTATCTTGTAAGTCATTGGGTTTGTAAGGATTTGGGGCTTTAACTTAAGGCCATTGGGAAATTTGAGAGATTTTAGGCAAGAAAATAATAGGGTCATATTTGGTTTTGGAAGATCTTTCTGTCTTCTACTTTCATTGTTTTTGATGGATAGGATAGGGTTAAGAGTGGTGCAGGCTTTTTATGTCAGTAGTTCAGATGTAGGCTTGGAGCAGGTTAATGGCAGTGGGATTGGAGAAAAGAGATGATTCTAAAAAAATTTAAGGACTAGAATCGAAAGCACTGGTGATTATTTAGATATGGAAAATGAAGGGGAATAAAGAATCAAAGGTGACTTCTAGGTTCTAGTTCTGACAACCGAAGAGGACAAACAGATTTTGGGGGAAATTATTTGATTTGGGAATGTATTGAATTTGAAAGCTAAGTAAAAACTGTTCAGTGGTGGTGTATTTAAATGTAACTCAGGAGACAAGATGAGGCTTGAGAAGCCAATTTTGCTGTTTTCTGCAAATAGTTGGTAATTTGAACCATGGTAGTAGATGAAATTGAATACATGGACTCTTGAAGAAAGCTAGTATTCAAGTGGAGGGTGGAGGCCAGGGAAACAGAGAAAGAATAGCCAGTGAGGTGGGAGGAACATCTGAAGAATGTGGAGTAATTGAGGCTAAGAGAAGAAAATACATGACAATGGTAGATACTGTTAAATGGATTAATAACATGAAACCTAAAATCTGTCCATTGAATTCCATAATATGTAGTTATTCATGATGGTGGCAAGAGCAGTTTTGGTGAAGTGTTGGGAGTAAATTCTAGAACGTGATTGTAGTATAAAAGAGATAAGGAAGCAGAAAGAATAATTATAGACAACTCATTCAAAGACAAAAAGGGCAAAACACTATTTCAAGCAAGTGCAGAAATTATTAAATTTGAGGATTCAAGAAGTTGGGAATAGGGTAGTGAGAACACAGGAAAGAAAGGCAAAAGTGACAATGAAGAACAAAAAGAACATCGGGCCACTTCCAAGAATCCAACGAGCATAAGAAAACACCATCACCCAACTTGCTGTCAGAACAAAGACATAGTTGATCCTCGTCGAGAGGGAGAATAAGGGAACTTCAATTAGAATAAGGAGGGAAATAGACAAATTCACAGATAGCACGGAATACTAACCAGTATTAATAGGACCATTCCTGGTAGGGGGGCGGTGTATACTATCATACTCTATAGTAAACGAGTGAGATGGCACCATCTAGGGGATGGTCATGAGTGGAGACTTCAAACTTTGGGGGAAGGGGTGGGAAATGGGCATTTATTGAAACCTTAAAATCGAACCCCCATAATATTGCGAAATAAAAAAAATTAAAAATAAAAAAAATCTTCATTCATCTGTAGCTATTGCAACCCCTTTCCTACCATTCACAACCAAACTTCTTTTTTTTTTTTTTTTTTTTTGAGACAGAGTCTCACTTTGTGCCCGGGCTTAGAGTGAGTGCCTCACAACCAAACACTTCACCCCAAATCATTGAATGAGTTGTCTATAATTATTCTTTCTGCTTCCTTATCTCTTTTATACTACAATCACGTTCTAGAATTTACTCCCAAACTTCACCAAAACGCTCTTGCCCCCATCATGAATAACTACATATTAATGGAATTCAATGGACAGATTTAGGTTTCATGTTATTAATCCATTAACAGTATCTTACCATTGTCATGTATTTTCGTTCTCTTAGCCCTCCCATTAAA